TAGCATGCCCTGGGGGCTTCTAGAGAGGCTGCCTGAGAAGGGGCCCCAAGGGCACATATGGGACTGGTTCCAAGAGACCTCTTTTGCTTAATGGCTTCAGGCCCAGCCTCCCAGGAGCTTCAGTCATGCAGGTTATGGCTCCAATGGGGGCTGGGGTGGGGTTTGCTGTGAGTCACTCACCCTCCCTGCCTAGTTTCCAGAGTAAGTGTCCAGAGAACTGTTTGCTTCATCAGGACTTCTGGCTGGATCCCCAGATTAGCCTTGGAGATGCTGAGGTGCTACATGATTTCAGGTAGCAGGGGAACTATTGTAAAGGAAGCCACTGCTAGCCCCAGCCAGCTGACCCTGTCCTCACTCCATGCATGTACCATGCTGGGTACCCCTCAGCCACACTGGGCTCAGTCACCTGAAGCCCACAAGGGATTGGTGGGTAGTGGGCCCCCAAGACATTGGGCAAGTTGCTGTAGACCTTGTTTGGGTCTTTGAGCCAAAGGTGCAAGGCACAGAGCAGGGGCATGTGGCCAACCAAAGAGTTCAACTTGGGAGAGACTTCCAGGAGCAGCAGAAAACCAATGGTCTGTTCCTACAACGTCAGGCCCAATGAAGAGCCAGTAAGCCTGGAGGAACTCCCAGTCCTAGGCCCACAGACATCTCTTTGGCTGGACATCACAGGTGGCTCACTTCAGGCCAGAGCCTAACCTGGCTTCATGAGGTCAGAATCATGTTTTCCCCAGCCAGCTCACTCAGGGCCTGGTTCAGGGTGAGCCAGCTCTCAAAGGACTGATTTATGGGGCAGAAACCACTGGATCTGTCTGTAAGTGCAGCTACATATGGTCTGAATGCTAAGTAAAAATAATCATGGTGTGCTAATGGCAGCAGCTGAGTGTTTTTAAGATTTTATTTATTTATTTGCCTTTACTCTGTGCCAGGGTAACCAAATTACATGGATTATCTCATTTAATCCTCCCACAACCCAGCGAACCAGCACTATCATTATCCCCATTTTATTTTATTTTATTTTTAAAGATTTTATTTATTCATTTGAGAGAGAATGAGATAGAGAGAGCATGAGAGGGGGGAGGGTCAGAGGGAGAAGCAGGCTCCCTGCCGAGCAGGGAGCCCGATGCGGGACTCGATCCTGGGACTCCAGGATCATGACCTGAGCCGAAGGCAGTCGCTTAACCAACTGAGCCACCCAGGCGCCCCTATCCCCATTTTATAGATGAGAAAACTAAAGACTTATAAAACCAAACCAGGTTCATCCAGGTCCCTCTGACTCCAGGGCCATTGTTCTTGAGCACTTGACTACTACCAAACACAAATCTTCTCCACAGGCAGGGATCTCCAGAGGCTGCATTATAACTGGATGTTCTTTGAGGATCTTTCACCTTTTCCCTCCCAAAGTTTTTATCTAGCAAATGTTGATTAAACTCTTCCTGTGTGTGGAGCTGACATATTGAAATTTGTGGCAGGTCACAGGGTGACCTTCAATGTAGAAAAATGAAGCAGGGCAAAAGGGGTGAGAATCAGGGATATTGCAGGAAGGCCTCTCTGATAGGTAACACTTGAGCAACAACCTGAAGGAAGTGAGAGAGCGGGTCATGTCAATATCTAGCCCAAGAAGTGGACTAGGTAAGGTGGGGGGCAGAGGGAAAGGCAGGGAGACGTGGTCCAGGCAGAAAGCTCAGCAAGGGCAAAGTTCTGAAGTAAAAAAAGTGCTCAGGATTTACATTTACATTTACATTATCCTAAAGGAAATCCACGAGATCATTGTGGCTGGGCTGAAGTAAAACGAGTGGGGGAAGGGATAGGAGATGAGGTCAAAGAAGTAATGGTGGGGGGTGCCTGGGTGGCTCAGCCGTTAAGCGTCTGCCTTCGGCTCAGGTCATGGTTCCAGGGTCCTGGGATCGAGCCCCGCATCGGGCTCCGGTCTGCAGGAAGCCTGCTTCTCCCTCTCCCACTCGCCCTGCTTGTGTTCCCTCTCTCGCTGTCTCTCTCTGTCAAATAAATAAATAAAATCTTTAAAAAAAAAAAAAAAAGAAGAAGTAATGGTGGGGCGGGGTGGGGGGGAGATAGGGCGGGGCCTGTGCACTGCTGTGAGGAAATTGGCTTTCTCACTGAATGAATGGGAACCATTACAGAGTTGTGAGCAGGGGAAGTACATGACCTGACTTCTTTTTCAAGAGGATCACTTTGAGTGCTGTGCGAGGGTAAGACTGTGCAGGGACAAAGGCAGAAGTGGGGAGACTGGTTAAAAGACAGGTGCGACACTCCTAGAGAGAGAATGGTAGCCTGGACCAATGTGGTAGTGGTGGCAGTGATGAGCAGCGGTTGGATTCTGGATATGGGTATTTCCCATTTAACATCAGTAATCTACAAAAGTTGGGCATTATGTCTGGGATCACTAACTTAGTGTCTGTTTCCCATTATTTTAAATGGGGAAAAGTATAATGCTTCCCTCATCAATCCCAAATCCCTAATTTTCTAAAATGGTACTAAATCCCAGGAAAAATATATATCTAATATATGCCTAGTAAGTTATAGTGTTAGGATATAAAATGCTTAAAGCATTTCCTCCTGATCACCAAACACTGTTTGCTGCTTTGATGCAGTATCATGGCCTCTTTCAGTACCTGCAACAGCCATGATGCAAGTAAGCCCCTTTTGTTGCCACTCCACTCCACTGTCTGATTTGGAATATAATTTGAGGCTTTATTTTTTTTTCTTTTTTTTTAAATTTTTTTTTTAATTTGAGGCTTTAAATGCACATTACTTTGATTAAAATCTAGATCAAGTTCTGATGATGTAAATATGCATTTTTTTCTGTATAAACATAAGCTGAATCAATACAAGTTTGTTGTATTAGTTATCTATTGCTGTGTAACAAATTACCCCAAAACTTACCAGCTTAACACAATAATAAATATTTATTATTTCACGCAATTCCTATGGGTATTTGGGAGGAATTTGGGAGCAGCTTAGCTGAATGGTTCAGGCTCAGATTCTCTCATGACACTGCAATCATCAGAAGGCCTGACTGGGACCAGATGATTTACTTCCAGGATTGCTCACTCACGTGACTGGCATATTTGATACTGCCTGTTTGCAGGTCTCAGTTTCTTGCCATGAGGTTCTCTCTGTAGGACTGCTCAAGTGTCCTCACAACATGGCTAATGGCTCTACCTGAAGAGGGTGATCCAAGAGAGAAAGGCAGCAGCCACAGTATCTTTTATGACCTAGCCTCAGAAACCCACATTGTCATTTTCACATTATCCTATTGGTTATATAGATCAGCCCTGTTTGGTGTGGGAGGGGAGTACACAAAGGCATGAATAGCAGGAGTTGAGGATCACTGGGGACCATCTTGAAGGCTGGCTACCACAGTTGGGTATTAAAAACTAAAAGGAATTCTATGGGGAAAATATTAACAAGAGTGACATTTTGCTGGGTGCACCTGTATTCTAAAGTACAGGTGACAGGATTTGCTAGTGGTTCGGTATATGAGGTGTGAGCAAAAGAGATGACTCCAAGATCATTTTCTGAATAACTGAAAGGATGACGTCTTTCATGGAGATGGATAAAACTCTGGGAGGAATAAGTGGGGGGTTTTTGTTTGTTTGTTTTTAAGATTTTATTTATTTATTTGACAGAGATAGAGACAGTGAGAGAGGGAACACAGGCAGGGGGAGTGGGAGAGGGAGAAGCAGGCTTCCCGCTGAGCAGAGAGCCCAATGTGGGAGCTCGATCCCAGGACCCTGGGATCATGACCTGAGCCAAAGGCAGACGCTTAACAACTGAGCCACATAGGCGCCCATGGGAGGAATAAGTTTTTAAGAGGATGATCAGGAACTCAGTTTTGGACATAGAACTTTGAGAGACTGTAAGACATCCAAGGGCAGGCATCAAGTAGACAGTTAAATGTGTGTGCTTCTAGAAGTCAGAAGAGAGATTGGCACTGGAAATAAAAAATTGGAATCAATAATGTATCAATGGAATTTAAAACCATGAGACTGAATAAGATCACCAGTAGATTGAATGAGGACAGGGAAGAGATCTAAGGACTGAAATCTGGGTTCCCTAACTGTCAGAAGAACTGCAAAAAGGACTTAGAAGAAATGGTCCATGAGGTAGGAGGAGAACCAAGGAAGGAGAGTGGTGTACCAGAAGCCAAGAAGAAAAAAATGTTTCAAAAGAGAGGAAATGATCAAGTGTATCCACTGCAACTGAGTGAAGTGAGATGATCCTGAAGTCAACTGGCAACCTTGATAGGAACAGTGTTACTAGAGTAATGGAGACACAAGTCTAGTTGGAATGGCTTCAGGAGTGAGTGGGAGAAGTGGAGAGGCTGTGGCAGATTTACTTTTTGATTACCAAATATCCACGACTCTCCACATTTCCCAGTCCCTCTGGCTACGTGACTAGTTCTGGCCAATCTGGGCTTTGAAGTATTTAAGAGCTCATACATGACCTTCCAAGCCCTGTCTTCCACTGCCCAGTGATGTGGGAAAAGTACGTATTCCAATGGCAGAGCTATGAGATGCAAGCAACTTGGATTCCTGAATCACTGCTTGGAAGGGAACTGAATTACTACCAGACCCATGGTAGATTTTGCGTGAGCAAAAAATAAGCCTTTATGTGTAAAGCCTCTGCCATTTTGGCATTCATTTGTTATACAACATAACCTAGCCCACCTGACTAATTAAACTCCAAGTATTATTTACTATTTTTTTTAAAGATTTTATTTATTTATTTGAGACAGAGAGAATGAGAGACAGAGAGCATGAGAGGGAGGAGGGTCAGAGGGAGAAGCAGACTCCCCGCCGAGCAGGGAGCCCGATGCGGGACTCGATCCCGGGACTCCAGGATCATGACCTGAGCCGAAGGCAGTCGCTCAACCAACTGAGCCACCCAGGCGCCCCTTATTTACTATTTTGAGGTTTGTTTGTTTTATAAAGGGCAGCAAAAAAATGGGGTGGAACCTAGAGGGAGGTTTGTTTTAATTTTTTAATTGAAATAAGACAGACGTAAAGTTCACAAATCATAAGTACAGCTCAGTAGATTATAACGGAGTAAACACACCCCAGGGAAGGTGTCTTGAAAATGGACGAAGCGTCAGCATATTGGTGATGGATAGGGGAGAAGGGAAAACCAATGATCTAGGAGAGAGGGACAGCTGCTGAAGCCATGAGCTATGCTTGTGAGGGCGAGAGGGACTAGAGTGGGGGAGTTTGCCCCCGCTGGAGCACGACAGCTCATCTTCAGTGAGAAGGAAGGCAGCGTCTGACAGGTGAGGTGAACTGGTGGTGGGAATCTTGGAAGTTCTCTTTGGCTGACTTCTGTTTCCTCAGCGGTATCACGGATAGCGCTGAGTGAGAGTGGGAGAAGCAGGTGAGGCAAGTTTGAGAAGAGAGAAGTTGTAAACTGATTGACCAGTGGAGTGGGAAAGTGAGGCGACATAGAAATGTGGTAATTGTTTTTTTTAAAAAGATTTTATTTATTTACTTGTCAGAGAGAGCGTGCAAGAGAGAGCACAAGCATGGGGAGTGGCAGGCAGAGGGAGAAGCCTTCACTTGTGCAATGCTCCAGGTTCAGTGCAGGAATGGCCACTGGGATGCCCCGTCTGTTTTGCACATTGAACTTCTGCAAAAGACTCATTTGAAGAAAGGATTCCATAGCTTCCAACAAAGATGACAAAACAAAAGGAGCTTGAAAGTCAGTTCTTTGGGTACATACAGGAGCTCCCTGATAGGAGCTCTGGTGGGATGGGGCTGGGGGGTCTGAGAGAGTGCTCGTGGATACAGACAACCTGGGACCACACAAATGCGAGTGATGGGGACGCCGTCTCTTTGAGATTGCTCTCTTCGTGAACATTTTTGAGCACCTACTTCACACCAGGCTCAGGGAGGAGCCATTTGCCCAAGGTTGCAGAGCTAGTGGGAAACAAGGTCTCAGTTATTCCTTATGACTTTGCCCTAGGAAGGCAGGGATGGGGTCACTAACACCAGTCCCTCCCAGGCCCCTGGCCTGCCTGCATGACCTCTTCATGAGTCTCTGGTCTTTGCTGCCCTTCTAGCCTATCCAGCCAGATCTCTCTTCACGAAAGGGTCAGCGCCTCAGATGGAACCCCTCCCCTGGGAATGTATATTGCCCCCCAAGTGAAGGCCCTTCAGCTTGCCATTCAGGGGCCCAAGGGATGACTCCAGGTGAGCCATCCAATTTCATTATCCCTGCCATCCACTCCCAGCCACCTCCACCAGGCCCAGAGATCAAGCTGAGTCTATCCTGGCCATCAGATGGACACTGAGAACCGTCATGTCTCTAGTTGTTTGTAATTTGTAAGGCAAGCCCCGGTGCCAAAATCAGAAAGTACAACAGTGTATTCGGAAAAAAGCCAGCCTGAAGACAAGTGTGTTCGTTCTTTGCAAATATCCAGAAAGCACTATTGGTCTACCCAGTTTTGAATGGGGAAATGTTCGTGGTAGGATGTGTGCTGAAAGACAGCAGGATACAGAATTGTTTCAATTCCCAGCTTCCAGCTTCCTCCCTGTTGTGACATCAGGCAAGGTATCTAAACTCTCCCAGCCTCAGTCCCTTGATCTATAAAGCTAGCCTGAGACACAGGCACCTGCCCCAGGGCGGAGTGATTAGGCTTGGATAACTGTCTACTGAACTTCTTAGCACACTGCCTTGGCGCTCAATGTTAGCTGCTGTTATCAGTTTGTAAAAAAAAAAAAAAATTATTTACCTTTTATGTACATTAAAAAAAACTGGGAGGAAATACACCAAAATGCGAACAGTGAAAGATCCTGAAAGGTGGGAGAATGGTGACATTTCTTTCTTTAGACCTTGTTGTATTTTCCAAGTTTTCTACAGTGAGTAGGTACAATGAATTCTTTCTTCCTTTTCTATTTAGAAAAAGAACAACATACTTCATTTTTTAGAGGGGACTACTCAGAACCCATTCCCCAGAGGTTTGAGCTAGTTGGGTCTGGTGAGGGATGCTTTCCTGTACTTACCACGTTAATTATACCAGTGACTCCTGCCAACAGCACCTTCCCCCTTAGCCTCGATGACACCTTTGTTTGCCCCACAGGCGAGCCTGAAGGATGGCTGCCGACATGCAGAGGAAGAGAAGCAGCGAATGCCCTGATGGCACATTGGCTCCTTCTGATGGGCAGAGTATGGAGAGAGCTGAGAGCCCCACACCAGGACTGGCTCAGGGAATGGAGCCAGGTACGGGCAGAGTGTGCAGCTCCAGGAAGCTGACAATGAGAGCAGCCTCCAGGGCCACTGGGATTCCCAACCAGTCTTTCGCTCCCACTCATTCACGTAGTTGTTCAGTCACTCCTGGGCTATTTGTCAGGTGCTGGGGATACTGCAGGGAACTGGGCTCAGTCCGGCTGTGTCCGGCCTTCCTCTCCATTTCGTGTTGGGCTACTCACCCTGTGCCAGCCTGGGTCCTCCTCCTGTTCCCTGGGTCTGCAGTGTATCTTCCTGGCTCCTTCTCCCTTCCTCAGCTCTCAGCTTAAATATCACCTCCTCACAAGTCAGGCCTGCCTGCTCTGACCATGCCCTATACGGGATACTCATTATTTTGTAACTTTATGTGTTTATGTGTGTATTGCACATCTCTCGTCCCCAAGATCATGAGCTCTTTGAGCACAGAGTGGTTGTATCCCCAATACCTAGTAGAGTACCGAACTCCTCATAGAGACTCAAAATATATCTGTTGAATTATTCTGTCAAAAAAAAAATCAGTAAAGGAGGACTGACATGGTCCCTGCCTTAGGGGAGCCACAAGCTAGTGGGGCCATTACACTGGAGTGGGTTAGGAACTATGGCCTGAGCAGAGTCAGGGAGACTTCTCGCAGGGAGAGAGAGTCACTGAACGCAGGAACCCCACTGCGGTGGGGGAGAAGGGTAACAACTGACAAGTGGCACAAGAGAAGTCAAGGAGGGAGATGTGACAGAGTGCCTAGGGTTGGAGGTCAGGTGAGGAGGTAACTAACGTTTTTGCTAAGAGCTGAAGTGTGACAAGGAGCCGGCCATATGAGGAGGTTCCAGTGTCTTCCAGGCAGAGGGAACAGCAGGTGCAGAGGCCCTGAGGTGGGTGGGGGTGTGTTGAGGGTGTCCAAAGAGCAGGTGGATGAAGGTCAGTGTGAGTGGAATGGGTAAGGACTGTGAGATGAGAGTGAGAGAAGCAAGCAGATACCAGCCGCCCCCGCAGCCATGAGGGGTTTGGGTCTTAGTCCCAGCGTGATGGGCGGAGACTGGTGGGCTCTCAGTGGCAGGGAGGCATAACTCGCAGTAGGCAGTAGTAGGAGGGAACAGCGGCCCGTCTCGCCAGGACAGGCAGTGAGGCTAAAGTGCCATATTAGGCACCTTGCTGGTAAGGTGGTCTGCCAGCGGGTCCTGCTCTAAGCACCAGTGCTTTTGGCTGGCAGGTGCCGGGCAGGAGGGTGCCATGTTCGTCCATGCCCGTTCCTACGAGGACCTGACGGAATCGGAGGATGGGGCAGCTTCTGGGGACAGCCCTAAGGAGGGTGTCGGGGGTCCCCCACCACTGCCTGCAGACATGCGCCAGATCAGCCAGGACTTCAGTGAGCTGAGCACCCAGCTGACGGGTGTGGCCCGAGACCTGCAGGAGGAGATGCTGCCAGGAAGCTCTGAGGACTGGCCAGAGTCTTCAGGGGCAGTTGGGCGGCCAGCCACAGAACCCCCCAGGGAGGGCACAGGCGAGGGGGATGACGAGGAGGCTGCTGAGGCATGGCGACTGCACCAGAAGCACATCTTTGTGCTGAGCGAGGCGGGGAAGCCTGTGTACTCCCGCTATGGGTCAGAGGAGGCGCTTTCCAGCACCATGGGTGTCATGGTGGCCCTGGTGTCCTTCCTGGAGGCAGACAAGAATGCCATTCGTTCTATCCATGCAGGTGAGCCACCTGGAAAGGGGGGCAGGGAGGGCTCCCCTGGCCAGGGTTAATTCATAGCAGGTCCTGGATCCCCGGGGACTAGAGAGGCCTGGGATGTGCTATGTGAAGGGGTCCAAGGGCAGTCCTTCCGCCTCACTGGGCTTCAGTATTGTCATCTGAACATGGATAGCATGCCTGTCTGACAGGGCTATTGTGAGGGCCAGAGGTGGCTCTGATGTGGGCTTTGCCCTTGGAGAGAACCAGAAGTCGGGGGAGGTGACCAAAAAGCCCCAGGTCCTGGCTCTTGCCGTTTAACACAAGCATGTTTTTCTGAAGTGCTCACTGCATTTTGGCTGGTGCCAGTCTGTGAACCAAGTGGAAGGGACAGGCCTGGAGTCCTCAGGGAAAGGGGACCTTGGGCTGCCGTTTTTATCTTCATCATCCTTAAGTCCCTACTGTGCAGAGCTCTGAGGGAGGGTGGAGAGGATGTAGAAGGCGACAAGCTGCGTAGGAAGCCAGGGCTCCGAGGGAGCTGGGCAAGGCCAATCCAGGAAGGCTTCCCGGAGAAGCTGACACGCCCTCCCTCCACCTTCAGATGGCTACAAGGTAGTATTCGTGCGCCGGAGCCCACTGGTGCTGGTGGCAGTGGCGCGCACGCGGCAGTCGGCGCAGGAACTGGCGCAGGAGCTGCTCTACATCTACTATCAGATCCTGAGCCTTCTCACGGGCGCGCAGCTGAGCCACATCTTCCAGCAGAAGCAGAACTACGACCTGCGGCGCCTGCTCTCGGGCTCGGAGCGCATCACCGACAACCTGCTGCAGCTCATGGCGCGAGACCCCAGCTTCCTCATGGGGGCGGCGCGCTGCCTGCCCCTGGCGGCGACAGTGCGCGACGCGGTGAGTGCCAGCCTGCAGCAGGCGCGTGCGCGCAGCCTCGTCTTCTCCATCCTGCTGGCGCGCAACCAGCTCGTGGCGCTAGTGCGCCGCAAGGACCAATTCCTGCACCCCATCGACCTGCACCTGCTCTTCAACCTCATCAGTTCCTCCTCGTCCTTCCGCGAGGGCGAGGCCTGGACGCCCGTGTGCCTGCCCAAATTTAATGCAGCCGGCTTCTTCCACGCACACATCTCTTACCTGGAGCCTGACACCGATCTCTGCCTGCTGCTCGTCTCCACCGACCGCGAGGACTTCTTTGCAGTCTCTGACTGCCGCCGCCGCTTTCAGGAGCGCCTGCGGAAGCGCGGAGCCCACCTGGCGCTGCGGGAGGCCCTGCGCACGCCCTACTACAGTGTTGCTCAAGTGGGCATCCCGGACCTGCGCCACTTCCTCTATAAGTCAAAGAGCTCGGGACTCTTCACCAGGTGAGGGAGGGCCTTGGGGACACTGCTTGAGGGAGATAGGGGTGGGGATGGGGAGAAGGATTGGTCCTGAGCCCTGATGCAGTCCTGAAGCTGAC